AACGCTCTGGCTGACTGGAACCCCTCCGCTCTGGCTGACTGGAACCCCTCGTATCCAACCCAAATATGGGGCAGATGTGGGTGCACCCGGGTCTGTCCGCCCCGTCGGACCTGGCCCACGCTGGCCCAGTTGACCCCACATATATTCCTCCCCATTCGCTCGCCGGACCAAACCCTAACCACTTCACTCCACTCCCTCCGCCACCCGAGCTCCCGTCCAGCGATCTTCGGCCGTCTCTAGCATGGCGGGCAGCGGATCCGAGTCGTTCATCTCTAGATCCGTCGACCATGAGCTCATCCAATGCGGCCCTGAGGAGGACATGGCCTCCGACATGCGCTCCGTCGCTCCCGGGAGGAGGCCCGTGCGAGGCAGCGCTCGGACTCCTACCATCGGGAATCCACTACGTCCACCCAAATGGCGCATGGATCCGGCACTAGGTGTGTCGTCGTTGCCTCACCGGAGGCGGTGCGGTCCGTCTGGCATCCAAATGCGATGGCAGGCACACAACCCCTCTGTTGGCTTGCCGAGGCCATGGGTGCACCATGGATGTCGTCTGACGTAAACATGGTGTAGCGTGCCCGCTGTGCGAGGCAGCGGGCGCGGGAGGCGGCGGCTGCCCTCGCGGCAGTGGACGTAGGCGAGGCGGCGTCGCATTCTCCGGTGCTCCGTACATGGTGTAGCAGTCTGGGCACCGCAACCGTGTCGTGATGGATGTTGTCGGCTCGTCCCAGGATGGATCCATCATCGATTCACATCCACTGGCACCGCTCGGGTTCCGGCCTCCGACGAGGAAGAGTAGGGCATGGGAGATGGCGACGCCTTGAGTCCCGTGAGCCGGCTCGTGTCCCAGGACCTACTCTACCTTGCCGGTGACCGGACTAACAGTCTAGGGAGTGCAGCCGGCCGCCGGACATGGCCACAGTGGAATCGGGTGAGCTCCGCTTAGATTAGGTTTCACGTTGCATGTAATAATATGGATTTGAGGTCTCTAATTTGATGTGTCCGGTTGTTGAATCAAATATTTGAGGCGTGACCGGTCAGTATCCGCAGGCGTTTTAGGGGTCGGATTTGCCAAGTCGGGTTGTAGATGCTCTTAGCACGACGATTTCCCGACTGTCTTCTACAACAAGGTTTGTCCGGCTCTGATGAGGGAGGGGTGATGACGGTGGCGCGTTTTCGGCTCGCTCCAGTGCTTGTAGTCGTCGCTAGGTGATCTACGGATCTGAATAAATTTATTACTTATGATGTTCTTTGTACTATATTAAAAGTTGATGAATAGATCAGAAGTTTCCCTAAAAGAAAGAGAAAGAGTACATATTGATGTATGGCCATATATAACCTGCCGAGCTGGATCCACCTGATTAGAAAGGACTTTTGCAGGTTCATGCATTGTACTGGCCGACCGGCCTATGCACTACTGCTTGTAAACCAGTTGACTAATTATCACGTGGCCGTTTTAGTTTGATCTTAATCTAACCATAGGGTGTGATGTGCCAAGTGTCACTCCCTTACTGGATATATCGAACTCCCATGTGTTGCATGTCGATGGATGTGCATGTCAGTTGTTGGATGCATCATGCATGCATGGCCCATGAGATCGACAGATCCGAACGAAGAGCAGTTTCTATATATGGATTAGCATCACATGCATACATCATAATAGACCAACAGAGATAGTAGTAGTGGTACTACCACACACGCATGCATCACATAGATCTAGGCCCATTTCTATATATGGATATTTTTGGACATGAAACTATATATCTCTGGAAGACGGTAAAAGTATGTAGATCGAGCTGGGGATGACAAATCAGCACACTCAGCAGTGCATGTGTGTCGGTGTGTATGTATGTGTCCTGTTTTTGTGTGTCCGTTTCTCCGGAGATAGAGCTATCTAGCGCTGCAGTACATGGTTATGGCCTGGTAATAGGTGTGTGTGTGTGTGTGTGTGTGTGTGTGTGTGTGTGTGTGTGTGTGTGTGTGTGTGTGTGTGTGTGTGCAGGTGAGACACTATTGGTCTAGCTCATCATGCATGCACATATACATTTAATAGTTGAAAAAAATAATTGGATTAAAACTATAGCGATAGTCTTGTCGTTTCATAGCAGGGCATATATAACCGGTCAGGGGCGTTCGTACAGTTGTTCAGAAGACATCATTCTCTCAACTCTCCATATTATCTGGAACTGGAAACGGCAATAAAAACATGGCATAAGTTTGGTTATCTCTCTTACGGTCATCTCTAGCAACTAATGTTTGTCTGCCTCCAAAAATATATATATGGTGATTGAAGGTTTGCTAAATCTTAGGTGTCTCACTTTGCACGAGTCGATTTCTGCATTCCATGAGGCTGAGGATGGGGACGACGTGAGAAGTGGCAGCAACGAGCGTCGGCCACGCCGAGACTAAGCCAGGACCTTGCCGGTGACGGGGCCGATGCTGCAAGCAGCAGCGAGCTGCGGCGTCCTAGGTGAAGACGAGGAAGAAACTTAACCGTGGTGGATGGGGTGCGGAGGGTCACTAGGGTTCTTGTAGATGTGGGGGTGTTAGAGGGATGGTCGAGCCGAGGCATCTGTGGTGGGGGGAGGTTGAGGGTAGGGCGGAGTGGCGAGGTGGGGGAGCGGCG